CCCGGTGGGACTTCCCAAATGGCAGCCTGCAGAAAGTGCAGCCAGGCTCGCAGCAACGCATCCACAAGAAGCACCAGAGTGCCCAGGGGAAGTTCTGGCTACATGTTGCAGAGTGCTGTGGTGTCCTGAGTGAGGGCAACTAGAGCACGCAGAGACAAAATGCTTTGCTGTCCCTCATTGAGGTAGGCAAGCAAGCAGGGAAAGCTGAGAACCGGCTGTCCGGAGCTGGGGTGGGTCCCTTTAAGCACAGGCCTCAGATAGCCTCAGGCAGCAGCCACACAAAGTAACTCCTGACCTGATGCCCTGCCGGACCTGGTTCCGGCAGGCCTTAAATGCGATTCAGCGTCCACCCAGTGTGGACACGCTATTTCAAAATAGCAAAAATCTATTTCGAAATGCATTTTGTGTATAGACACATTATTTCGAAATAAACTATTTCAAAATAATACTGTAGTGTAGACATACCCATAGAGATTAAAGAAGGGCCTAACCTAACACACTGGATGAGAACACTTCCAATTTGAGGGACATTTACATCCTGATCTTTTGCTGCTGGACAAACTAAAATCTTCAATCTAAACACTCCAAACTCTGTGCATGTTCATAGAATCATAGAATACTAGGACTGGAAGGGACATTGAGAGGTCATATATATATGGTTGTGACTATTTTCTTCCACTATTTGATCTGAGGAAGTGGGTCTGGCCCACGAAAGCTCATCATCTAATAAACCATCTTGTTAGTCTTTAAAGTGCTACATAGTCCTGTATTTTGTTTCATTTAAAAATTGAGTTTTCTTTTCCTTTCATGTTGTTGCTACAGAGGAGAGTTAAGGTTGTTTGAGTGCCTTAGCTGTGCATTTCCATACCTGAACATGTTTGGATTTATTTTAAATATCACCCTGAATTTCCTCTGATTCTACTGCTGCTTCTTGGGATAATTACAACATTCTTGTATATTTGTTATCCTTAAGTGATTGATATGTACTCAAAAGCAATTTAACATGGAGCTTTTGACTGAGATTTTAAAGATGAATCCCAGCCACAGGTGGTTGGATGCCTGGTCAACATTAGGAAAAAGTTCCTAACTGTCAGGATAGTCAAACACTGGAATAAATTGCCCAGGAAGGTTGTGGAATCCCCATCTCTGGAGATATTTAAGAGTAGGTTAGATAAATCAGGGATGGTTTAGACAGCATTTGGTCCTGCCATGGGGGCAGGGGATATATATATGGTTGTGACTATTTTCTTCCACTATTTGATCTGAGGAAGTGGGTCTGGCCCATGAAAGCTCATCATCTAATAAACCACCTTGTTAGTCTTTAAAGTGCTACATAGTCCTGTATTTTGTTTCAGCTACACCAGACTAACACGGCTACATTTCTATCACAATTTTTAAATGTCAGTTTCATCTAATCTGGGACCGGAAACACTAAAGTATATCATCATACATTTGTTGCAGGGCAGAATAAAGGTTGCTTATGTACTTGAACTATGCATTTATCTAATTTAACTTGTGTGAATTACTTCCAAATATAGGCAGTCCCCGGGTTACGTACAAGATAGGGACTATAGGTTTGTTCTTAAGTTGAATCTGTATGTAAGTCGGAACTGGTGTCAGCGGCTGCTGAAACTCATCAGTTTCAACCGCGGCTGAATCTGGATGCCAGTTCTGACTTACATACAGATTCAACTTAAGAAACCCAGGCGTCCCCAAGTCAGCTGCTGCTGAAACTGATCAGTGGCTGATTCCAGGAAGCCTGGGGCAGAGCAGCAGCTGACTTGGGGACACCTGGGGCAGAGCAACTGGGGTGCTGCTGGGTGCTGCTGGGTTGAAACTGACCAGCAGTGGCTGAATCAGGACGCCTGGGGCAGAGCAGCTGGGGTGCTGCTGGGTTTGTTCGGAGCGGCGCTGCGGGACGAACCCGGCAGCCCCCAGCTGCTCTACCCCGGGGTAGGCAAGAAAAGCCTGGTCTGCTGGGTGGGGCACTAGCTGCACCTCCCCACCCCCCAGCAGACCAGGGAGACGGGGGTGGCGGGACCGCCAA